TACTCTCTAACCATGTTGTATATAATAACTGACACTTATGAACCACTTACCATGTGCCAGGCACTACTCTAAAAGCATTTCAGATTTAATTCTCACAATAACTCTATGAGACAGGTACCTAGTATTGTTCCCATTTTATGACGGTAAAACTGAGGCACAGGACAGTCAAATAAAGTACACCAGGATAAATAATAATGCCAGGATTTAAATGTTCGTTCTCCAATCTGATTCTAGAATCCATGCACTTAAGCAGTACACCATAGTGTATCTCAGAAAGGTTGTTACATTTGTAAAAAGAAATCACAAAGCCACAAACGCTGGATTTGCAAGATAGAGGCCAGAATACTGAACGGCCTCGTCAGCAATACAACAGGATCTTCTATCAGGAAGGGGAAAGAAGAGAGACAGCAAAAGTCAAGACTTGAACCTGAAAAAAATCTTCTACACAACATTGTTCTAAGTATGGCCATAGAATAGTAATTCTCAAAGCTGGTAGTATGCATTATATACATTTTTTAAAATTCTCTGTAATAAAGTTAAGTAAATACAGAAACACTGGTTTCAATACAGAGTTTAAAGAGTTCCTTCAGCACAGGACTTCCAAAGCCTTAAAGCTAATGTACATGTGATTTTCCATGCAGTTTGAGTACACAGTATCTCAACTTGATAAGTCATCAAATACTTCTTTTCTCTCAAAGTGCATCCTACAGGATCAGTGTTCTGAATAACATGCTATGGGAAACAAAATGAGTTTCTCTAAAGAAAGCAATATAGCAAGCCTCTGGTAGACTATAAAGACATTTTTCTTATCTACAAAATTAAACCCTCTATCAAAGTTCTTTACAAAAATCTATCACAATAAAAACCCTTAAATTAGAAAAATATAATTGAGATTAAATATTACTGCATGCCAGCCAATAGCTTATTTAATTTTAAACTACTGCCAGTAATTAAAAATATACAATTTTTTAAAAGAAGTCTCTGGCATTTCTTAGAATTGGAACTCTGTGGCTACACGTAGTCAATGCTCGAAAAACATTTGCTGGCTGAAATTACCCCCAAAGTAGCCACTACTCCCCTCTACACACAGTTATTTCCACAGACTTTGAGGTGACTCCCCTTCTTACAAGTCATCTTAACTCCTGGAATACCAGTAAGCCAAGCTGGTCACTGCTCAAACAGTCAAGCACAACATACTTCCTCTGAAAGTGATTTATCCGATGAAGGCTTTAATGACTGTTTTTTCTTTAAATCCTTTCC